CGGTGGTTATTTACTGGCGAGAATTCACTGTAACCGAATCAGGTGACCTGCTTTCATGCCCATCGGCTGGAATATGGAAATAGCTCTGTCATTCGGGGCCATTCTTCTTCCCTCCCTCTGCAGTGGGAGGCTGGGTGCTCAGTTACAGAGGTGCTGTAGAGGGGGTTCCAGCCCTACATGGGCCACAAGTGATCTTTCAGGTCCCTGTCAGTCCTGATAGTCTACCATTTTAATTTTCCTGGTAGCCTAAACCGTGGTACTCAGCTGCAGTATAATCTGGTTAAAAACTTTTAGAAAAAGATGATAACTAAAATGCTTTAAGACTCTAAGTTGTTACTGTTTGACCAGGTGGTTAGAGATACTGAACTGATCACTCACATACTCGGTGCTGTATGTAAAACACACAAGCTTTTGCATTATAAAAAAATCTTAAAAGCAAAGCACACCACACCCATTCAAAAAATGTTACAGTAGGACCTGATGGATATCCTCAGAGATCTGGAAGCTTTAGGTTAGGGTCTGATTGCCCTCACTGGGGTTTTGAGCCAAGCGAGGCAGTTAGTTTTCTTCTGTCTCTGAGGGAAAGGTCCAAGAGTGCCAAGTGAAGTATTTTCTTACTTTCTCCGAGAAGGACATGAGGGATGGGGGAGGCTTGAGAACTATCAGGTAGCTGTGATGGGATGTGACACTTCTGCCAGGGTTCGAGTGGTGACCTGCGAGCATTTTGGCTTACGGTCGTAATGCGCTTGCCAGTGCTCATGACATCTAACAACGCAATTATTGGCTGGTGATTGCTGAAAATGAATTGTTTGGGAATCCTGTTTCCCCGGGGCTGTGTTGTAAGATAGGAAATACAATTTGCTGTTGACCTTTTGGCCTCTGATTGAGTTTAGAACTTAACACTGGAAAAAATTCAGTTAAAACATTTAAGATAAAGTTAAAACATTTTAGATTCAAAAGAAACAACTGGTAGCGTTTTAATAAAAGATTAAGAATGAGATGCAACATATTAACCCAAGAACTAAAACTTACACTGTAGCTCGATGCAGTGGTATTCAGTGACGATCTTACAATACACAGAAAGCTTAGTTTAGCAGAAACTCTTGGGAAAGGGGGATCTCACCATGGCCCGTAAATCACTCACTAGAGAGCTCGCAAGCACCCAAGCTTTTGCAAATAGCCTTTCTCCAAACTTTATCCTCCTAAACTTTTAAAGAACCCTCTTCACTGTGTAATGAGTCACTCTGACTTATGACCTGTATTCAAGAGGTGCCACTAGGTGCTTGCTGCAAGATCCCTCCCTGGGTGGGAGGAGAGAAAGCATTGTGTGCTGCCGTGTGCACATGCGACGTGTGCTGAGACATGCGGCTGTCCAGCAGTGCTCATGTGATCTGCAACAGTTTGCAACGCTGATCCACAGACAAGGTTTGTTCTACTGTTCTGTCAGTTCCAGTTACTTAACTGATGGCAGATGTCCTCATTAAGGGCCATTAGCACATCAGGATAGGTTTGCAGAGCTGGTCAAGGGCTAACCCTCTTTGGACATTGACCAAATGACGTATTCTAGGGTAGCCAGCTCCTCCTGTTGGTGACAGCAGTAGTGTTGAGAAGCACAAGAGCTTAAAACTGTACAGAGTTCTTTAGCATGAATTTATGTTCAAGGAGGGAATTTAGTAAGTGGGGAATGTAAAGTGTAAAGCAGCATTTGGCTACATGCTGAAGTACTGTTTCTTGACTTTTTTCAGCTGCTTCAGAGCTGCATGGCAAGTTAGAGGGTGGCTGGTCTAGGGGCCAGTGATAGCTCCCAAGGAAGAAAGCAGCAGGGGAGCCAGTAGAGAGGACAGGGAAGAGCAGGTTGAAAAGGAGAAGTGCATTTGGAGTGGGGAGAAGCAGGCTAGGACAGAGGCCGGGACCCTCAATGCCAGGTGTAAAAGGTGGCTTGGGGGTTAACCAGGCTCCTCCACCCATCTTGTGGCCCACCTTCCTTGTGCTCATCTCCTTTGGAGTCCCTGAGGCCTCTGGTTATTGCATTAGCTATAGAGCTGTAGCCATGATGGCCTACTAAGGACACCTGGTGCTGCCCAGCTGTAGTTAGAGTTGTGTTTTCTGCTTCTGTGCTACAATCTGCACTCTAAACTTGGCCAAAGTTTTCCCTGGTTAGTTGATCACATTATCTACTTGATACCTCTGTGAGAGGGCAGGATGTGTCTAAAGGTCTTTCCAAACTCCGACTGCTAAATGATTAACAGTGACTTGGCTTGCTGGACAAGGTCAGACTGAAGCATTGACCTTGGTTTTGTAGGAAGAGGCTGAGATGCCCGTGGAGAGGAGATTTCCCTGGAACCAAAGTGCATGGGGAAGAGGAAGTCTAGACGTGCAGGGTCAGGACTGTCTTTTTCTATTGAGAAAAATACCATCTGAACAAAAAGCAACTTAATTCAATGTTTTATTTTGAGATCTCTCACTAACTGGATTAGTGGCAGCAGGGTTGTGACCTTGGCCACCAGCTAGAAGTGAGTTTAAGCCCAAGGCTGCTTGTTCCTGGTCTCATACCTTGGCAGCCTGACCGCTCTGCAGCTGGGTTGTCTCATATCAAAGACCATGTGTTCATTTCAGGTTCTGAGGATTAAATTAGATACAATTGAAGAAACCTTAGTGCCCAGGAGGCACTTAATAAAGACAGTTTCCCTTCCTTCTTTCTCTTCTGCTTTTAAAAATTAAGATGTAGGAGTACTATAAATAAAATTAACAATAGAATGCATTTTCAAGTGGAATTTATGAGAAGGGTAGACAAGGAAGGCAAAGCCGTGTGGGAGCTAACAGGAAGTGGGCAGCTCGCCCACTCTGAGCAGGCAGAGCCAGGGCTTTGGAAGGTGCAGGCTTACCAACAAAGTGTTCTTTAAAAAGAGAAGAAAAACGTCGGGGCTTGGTGGCCAACCATCCCAGGCTGTGTCTGAAGACTAGAAACCCAGGAATTTTGGAAACGCTATCCTGTCTTCATTTTCAGTGGTAGAAACCCCAAACTTCCTGCTGTGGAAAGTGTGGGGAATTTTGCCAAAAGAGGGTTTGCTTTTTTATCTGGGATGATGCCGCCACCTGGTGTCCTCTAGCTTCCCTGCAGAAACGAAGCAGTTAAGAGGCTCTGGATTCTTTCTGGGCCTGGGGATTGAACCCAGGGCCTTGGAAATGTTGGGTACGCACCCTATCCCTGAGCCACATTCTGACCTCTGGTGACTCAGGGTTTTTTTTTTGGTGGCGGTACTGGGTGTTAAGCTAATGGTTTTGTGCTTTCTAGGCAGACACCCTACTGCTTAGGCCAACCTTCTTGGTCTGTGTTTTGGAGATAGGGGCTCGCTCTTTGCCCAGGCCAGCCTGAACCACAGTGCTATTTTATGCTTTCCTCTGTAGCTGGGACGACAGGTATGTACCACTGTGCCCAGCTGTTGGTTGAAATGGCATCTCACAAACTTTTTGCCTGGGCTGGCCTCAAACTGTGATTCTTCTGATCGCAGCCTCCCAAGTAGCTAGGAGTAATGCGTGAGCCACCAGGGCCCAGGGTTTGGCCTCGTTTTAAAACCCTTTAGCTTGGGTATTGTTAGGGATAAGGACAAGCAAATTCTGTAGTGGTAAGGAATTTGCCTCTCACATTTTCTTCCTCTATTGTAGTAAGTAGTAAAGCGTACCCAGAGCATTTGCCTGTGATGTCACCAGCCACCTCACCTGCCTGCCGCGACTCCCACCTTTTCCCTATCTTTTCTTTGCTTTCTTGGCCATTCACAGTGGAGATCACCCTGCTGTCACATTCCAGCCCTTGAGGCCCTGAGTCAAATGTTGGGGACAACCAACCAGACTCTTTTGCTCAATGTTTGCAAGTCTCTTATTATCCTTTCGAGTTATTTTTGCCACTGTGGTTTGTTATTGTAGAAAGGCTTGCTAGCAGAACTTGCCGGACTAGCTGGGAAAGAGGCCAGTGTTGGGGAGACATGGAGGCGGTGTGGGGCCCAGACACACCCTGGGTGAACGTGAAGAAGGTCTGTAGACCACTGACATGGTTAGCACTGACAGGGCCACTTCTGGTTGTGAGTGGGCAGGGAGAGGAATGTGGAAGGACAAAACAGCCTTATGAGATGTCAAGCCCAGCTGGGGCCCCGAACACTTTTTTTTTTTTGAGGTACTGGGGTTTGAACTTAGGGCCTCGAGCTTGCTAGGCAGGCACGCTACCACTTGAGCTACAGCCTTTTTTGCTTTGGTTAATTTTAGATGGGGTCTTGAACTTTTTGTCTGGGCTAGTTTAGACCACAGTTCTACCTATGCTTCCGGAGTAGCTGTGATGTGTGCCTCCACGTCCACCATTTTTTTTTTTTTTTTGCCCAGGCTGGCCTTGAACTGCAATCCTCCAATCTGTGCCTCCCAAGTAACTGGTATTGCAGTTGTGTGCCACCATACCTGGCAATCTTAGGTTTTTATACCTGCCACAGTCCCTGGGATGTGCTTTGAACACATCCATCCTTTAACTGAATGCACAAAAAGGACCTGAACAGCAGAGACCGGGAGTATGCATGGGGACCCAGAGGGGATGAAGAGCTGGGAGGAGAGGCAGTGTGAGTTGGCAGAGCAGCAATAGTCCTCCTTCCTCTTGCACCCTCAGACGCAGACCGTGAGCAGGGGCAGGGACAGTTGACTCTGTGAGCCCTGTGGATGGTCTGGCCTTGGCTCCCTTTGGCACCATGAGCTGGCCACTTATGCTCAGTGTTACTTTTCTCAGTTGTAAGGTGAGTGAGCAGCATGGTTCATCTCCAAGGCTCTCAAGGCTTTGATTCAGCTCAGCTTGGGAATCCCTGTTTCTGACAAATGTCTTTGACTGGCAGCACGTGTCTAGGTAGTTCATCTTCACCTGAGGAAGCAAATGTGGGTGTGGCCAGAGGATGCTCAGGGCAGTCAGACAGCAAAACATTGGATCCAACCTCAGGGACTATGAGAAGGCATTTGTTACTCTCACTGGCAGCGATGTCTGTGCCTAAGAAAATACCATGTGACTGTGTTTTATAGACTAACGTGTGATGGTATAGAAGGCCCTTACCCAGTGAGGATTCAGCTTACAAAACAATGGTCCACTTTTTGCAGAAAGAAGAGTATGTCGATACGTGTGTAAAATGCTCTTTAGAAAAAGTGGGCATCATTGGGAGGCAGACTGTTGACTGATGTGGTTGTCTTTGTGCTTGTTAATATTTTCTGAATGTCCTGTCAGGATCCAGTATTACTTTTGTAAAAAGAAAATGAAAGGTGATAAGGGTATTTTTTGTCTTGAGCACCCATGGGCTCCCGTGTGGGCTGGTCTGAAGCCTGCAGGTTGTGGCTGAGGGACTCACTGTTACCTTTGCCTCCCCAGGGGACACGGCAGCATGGCCAGCGTGCTGTCCCGGCGCCTTGGTAAGCGGTCCCTCCTGGGAGCCCGGGTGCTGGGACCCAGTGCTTCAGATGGACCCTCCGGGGCTGGCCCACCCTTGGAGCTGCAGGTAGAGCTGCCAGAGGGGACTGCTCTCCAGCCCTTCCTCACCTCTAAGGACCCTGCGTGTCAGGAACCACCCAAGGAGGTCCTCAAGACTCTGGGCACTCTGGGCTTCCCACAGGTGGCCTTTCAGCCTGGACAGAAGGTAGGTTGACCCCAACATGAACAGGTCTCTTGTCTCCTGAGGGGTGGCAGGCCAGGGGTACCCTTAGTGACAGGGTGGAAACTCTCTGTGCACCAAGTTGAGCTCAGACCTTTTCCTCCAGCTCTGGGGCTCTAAAGACTGCAAATGTGCTGTCATTTTAGACTGAGGGCTCATCAACTACAGTGTCATCTGTGGGAGAAGGTTGTCAGACATTATGGGATGCTCAGAACCTTAGCCCCAAGTGTGGCCTTAGCTCAGCAGCCCTTAATCTGCCTCAGTTTGCAGCTTTACAAAACCAGACTGTCAGAGTCAGAGAAGATTGAGCCTTTGAATCAGCCTCAGATGTTTGCAGATCAAGCTATTGTGTAGTTCAAATTTAATTTGGATTTCCTTCCCAGTGTCTCTCTCTCCCTTGTGATAGGGCCCATTGTCACCTGGGTCTGATGTTATCACTAGATCTAGATGCCCGGATTCTCTGTCATTGCCATCTCAAGGGCTTCCAAATAAAGACTCTGCCTTTTGTCTCCCCACTAGTCTTGTGTCCCCAGGCCTCTCTTTCCATCAGATAAAGTGACCTGCCAACTTCCAGGTACCCTTGAGAGAGGGCAGCCTGCCCCCCATGCTGCCCAACTCCTCCTCAGGTGCTCTGAAGGAAAAGTGCAGGGCATGAGTAGTTCTCAGCAGGAGGAGGGCCCCAGCACGTGTGCAGGACTTCAGAGGCGAGATGGGGAGGGCAAGCAGTCAGGAGGCTGGGGACAGATTCCAGATTCAGTGAAGACCCCAGCTGCTGACACGCTCCGTCTCTCAGGCTAGAGTTTATAGGGACCCTTTGGGGAAAGTATTAATCCAGTGTGCTTAGTCTGGATGCTCAGGTGGGCAGCAGGTACCTGGGAACATCTGTTCTGTCGTGCTCTATTTTCAGCTGCTGTAACAGAACACCTCAGACTGGGTAATTTATAAACAATAGCTTATTTGGCTCATGGTTTTAGAGGCTAGGATGTCCAAGAGAGAAGTAAGAACAAGAGAACAAGAGTGACCAAACTCACTTTACTTTTATAAAACCCATACTCTGTACCTAACCCCTTCTTAGGATAACTAACCTAGTCCTATGATGGTGACATTAATCCATTTACGAGGTCAGAGCGTTCATGATCCAATCACCTCTTCTTAGCTCTTACATCTCAACGCTATTGCATTGGGAATTAGGTTTGGAACACATGAACTTTGGGGACAGATTGTAGCACAAGTGATTAAAGATGCAGTCTGGCAGGCAGCTCTGACTCCCCAAACTTGGGCCTACAAGGGCTCTGAGGTGGGAACTACTGAGTGCTGACTACTGGCTGTTGTTCCCCTGCAGGTTTATGTGTGGTATGGAGGTCAGGAAAGCCTAGGCCTGGTGGAGAAGCACAGCTTAGCAGAGGACAAGGTGACGGTCTGGCTGTTGGACCAGAAGTTACAGATCTGCTGCAAAGTGGAGGAGGTGTGGCTGGCAGAGCTTCAGGGCGCCATGTCCCCAGCACCACCCGTGGAGCATGGAGCTCAGGTGCCGGCCTACAGACCTGTCTCCAGAAACATCGATGTCCCAAAGAGGTTTGTGGGGATGGTGAGGGTGCAAGTGTGGGCTTCCTTGTGATGAGAGGAATGTGGGGTCCTAGGTATCTAGATAGTCGATATGTAGAATAAAGAAGAGAAGATGCATCCTTTTAAGGGAACCAGAGTGACATTTTTTCCTCCCTGTCATTCTCTTAGGGGTGACAGATCTTTGATTTGGTGAAGGGCCTCACCCCCCTTTGGCCTAAACAAAACTCAGCTCATAGACTTTCTTGAGATGAGATAGTGAAATTGCTCGATCGGGAGTCAGCCCTCTCCCTCTATATGGGCCACAGAGCAAATGACTTAGGCCTTGTCACCCAACAGACTGTATCTTGACTGCTTACCTCTTCTGTGGTCGTGCTGTAGCGGCTATAGACAATATGGTAGCCCACGGGTCTGGCTCTGCTCTAGTCAAACTTCATTTATGCATCCTCAAACATCAGTGTAATTCAGTGTAACTTCTGTGTGTCACAGTTCAAGAAGTAATAATTCTGTTTTTCACTCTTAAAGACCATTTAAAAGTGTAAAACCATCCTTTAGCTCAAAAACCATACAGAAACAGGCAGAGGGTGGTATCTGGCCCAAAGCCCGTGAAGGGCCGACCCTTGGCTTAGATATTCAGAACGATTGGTTTGAACAAAAAGTGGATCTTTTGTTTTAGAATTTTATGGTAGGACTTTCCCCTGGGAATATAGATCCTAATTTCTGTTACAGGGTTTATGTGTAGCGATCTTTTATGATTTAATAAGGAAATTTGCCCGCTGAGATTGTTTTACACAGATGTGAAAGCAGTTACGCCCTGTCCTACTCACGCTGTCTCTGCTCCGCGCGTGCTGGTGACAGTAGGCTTGTGTTTTGAGATCAGAGCAGCAGCGTTTGTGGTTGTGTACTCAGTGGGATGCCAGCAAAGAGTTTGCTTTTCTAGTTGACGGAAGTGCAAAATCAAAGATCACGTAAAGAAGTGTTCAGCGCACTGATGGTCTTGGTCGTCTGCTTCAGCCCAGCTGTGTGGTTTAGTAGACTTGAGTTATAAAGAATGAATTTGTGCAGTCCTTTGAACTGGACAAACCACCCAGAAGTCTATTTCAGTCCAACTTTCCTAGTGCTTTACCATTAACTTACTGACATCTGTAATTTTACTTCCAGTTAATATAACTGTATATAACTGTTTAAAAAAAGCCTCACATAAAAGTTTATAGATCCCTGCTGCATAAAGCATTGATTTGCAGTAGGAAATTTATTATTTATCTGGCTATTTATTTTATACTGGCTTATTTGCTGTTTGTCAACAAAATGCCTTATTTTGGCAGAGAGGAGCGAGAAATTTATTAGTGTAATTGTTCCCTGTTAAATTCAAATATAAGACAAGGAAAGGAGGTAATTTTAGTGCCTGCTAGATCTCTGGGCATCTTTTATTCACATGATTTAGAGTTTTGACTCTCCTTTTCTTCCGTAAATAGAATGTTCTGCTTTTTCGTGTGTGTGGGGAGGGCAGTATTGGGGTTTGAATTTAGGGTCTGGTGCATGCTAGGCAGGCACTCTACCAGTTTGAGCCATGCTGCAGCCTTAAAATACTCCATTTTAAGCTGCAGAGTTAGAAGGGAGTTGGGGAGAGTGGAGCTGCCTCAGGTGTCAGCCTAGCACAGCTGGGGACTCACCTGCTCATAGTGGGGCTGCCTGGTGTTAGAAATACCATTGAGAGCGAGCACTTTTTGAGGAGAGTGAGGAACTCCTCATATTTTACTTCCTCCTATCACTTGAACACACACTGGCTGACTGAATGGGGGCTCTGAGGGGACAGCATAGTAGTGTAAGATGACCCCATGAAAATACCTGAAAGTGGTATCTCATCCTGTGGGCGCTGTGGACTGGCTGGGCATAAGAAGTAACCTTTCCACCCACTTCTTTGAATCCAGGAAGTCAGATGCTGTGGAAATGGACGAGATGATGGCGGCGATGGTGCTGACGTCTCTATCCTGCAGCCCAGTTGTGCAAAGTCCTCCCAGGGTCGAGGCCAGTTTCTCTGGTGAGCAGGGGTTACTGAACGGGTTCCAGGCGCGACAGAGGCCTGTGAGGGACATCTCTGCTCTGAGCAGCTAATCACCGAAGTCGGTTCGGCAACAGGATTTCTGGAGGCTGCCTGAGCACTGTTGAGCCAGAGCTTCCTGGTGCCCTCAGATGATGGTTGTGTTCCGCACAGAGCCAGCTGGCCACTCAGCAGGTTTTTCTAGGGGAGTGAGTGTGGCACTTCGGGGCCTGAGCAAGGCCTGAAGGAATACGTAGTTCACAAAGGTAGAACTATGCCAAGAGGCCTCAGAAAAGTCATGCCTCTGCTCCAGGTGCCTTGTAAATTAGTGTGGGCTTACAGACTAAGGACATGAGAGCATGGAGCTGACATCTCAAATCTAACTGCTTAATAGAAACCAATAGTATGCCTTCAAATTTACAAGCTAAAATTCTTCTTTATCAGTAGCATGGGGAAAGGATTGCTGGGTATCAGTCTGTTGACGAGCTAGGTGGTGAACCTGAAGGTTTTTTTTAAATGCCTTACTCCCAAGGAAGAACTTTTTCTTAATCCATGAGGCCTAATTGAATTGCATGCTACTTAAAAGCTTGTAGGAAAATGTGGAATTACATGCCAGGAGGAAAGTGGCCTTTACATGTGTCCCTTATAAGTAATCTCTCTAGATAGCACGTAAATACAAAAGAGAGAGAAAGCAAATTATGTCACCCAAAGCCTGCTAGAGGTTGTCTCTGCACTCCGAGGACACCTAGTGGTGTGGCCTAGTAGTGCACGCCCGCTCTATTAACACAAGCAAGATCCAGGGAAGGTAAATCAATTTTAATTCTCAGGAAGTTCTACAAGTTTAGGAGATCTGAGAAGTTGGGGCCAACAGATTCAGGAAAACATCTTGAAGGAAAAGAAGATGACTGACTCCAGTTCCCAATAGGAGTGTGCACATGCAAATGTGCACAAACCAGCCTGTGTGCATCTCACTGATAATATGCCACAGTCCTGATATCTTTTGTTTCTTTTTTTGATGAAGAGGAATTCATTGTTACAGAATTTTTTTTTCCATAACAATATGTTACTGACTTTATGGTTGAAGTTGGGGGAAAATAAGGCTTCCCTGCCAGCTAATTATTTGAAGTTTTCTGCAAAACGAGCTATACACATCAACCTCAAGCCTTTGTCTCATCTTGAAGACCGTTTGCACAAAAACCACCCACTTCCCTTGGTCTGTGGATTGTTAGGATAGTACTCGGTGTACGTGTGTGTGTACACAGGAGATTATGAATATTTCTTAAAAGTTCACTTGCAAATTCTCCACCATTAACATGTTTGTTCCCATGGTATAGAATATCTGTTGTCTCTGTCCTAGAAAAACGTCCAATCAAAGATGAAGTCTTGTGTGTTCACCTGTAGTTTACAGATCAAGTATGACATTAAGTCCTGCTTTGTCTTACATTTGCCTTTTTTGTACACCAGCCTGCCAGGTTCAGTGTTCGAGTGATAGACTGTGGTTCCCCTAAGTGAGGGTTGCTGTCTTTGTGAACATGTCTGCCAGTTGACCTGCCCTTCCTCCTGAGTCTTGTCATCCTAGCTGTACTGTTCTACCCCCTGCCCTCCTCTCCCTGATAGGTTTCTTGAGTGGATGTTCGTGGGCCTGTGACCTGTCGGTCTGTTGGGTGGTCCTGGAGTTCTGCTCTGAATGTGTACCCTGTTTTAAGCCCCATATGTACATGTAGTGACTTCTAGGATTCAAGGAAGGGCAAGTGATGAATTTTGAGACTGGACAGTGAAGTTTGGGAAGGGAGGAGTTCTTCATCCATCCCATCCTGTGTGGGTAGGCTTCTCTTAGGATGTGAGGTTAGGGAGAACCTGGATTGTGGAAGCATGGGGTCCTGGGAGTCAGCTCCAGGAGTCTAGCTTGGTGGAGAAGCTGCCTGGAGTGTTAATTAGATGGGAGACCGGCAGGTGGATTTTATCCTAGTCGCTGGGGGTGCCTTAGAATCAGAGTTAGGAGGTTCTGTAGAATACCTATCTAGAGTGCTGGGGAATATGTTTTTTTCCTTGCTTTCTTGCTAATTCCATGTATCAGAATTTCAGATTCTCCTATTTTATCAGTTTGTTTGGGTTTATGACCCTAGGCATGACAAAATTTGAGCTGGGCCTGAAGCAGCCTGTAGACTGAAAGTTGGAGCCAGTCATGGTTGTGCATACCTGTAATCCCAGCACTAGGGAGGCAGAGTAGGACCATTCTGAGCTGGACTATGCAGCCAGACCCTGCCTCAAGCAAAACAAAACATAATTAAATATCGAAAACCTTGAAAATCCGGGCTGGGGATGTAGATCCATGGTAGAGCACTTGCCTGGCATTCATGAAGCCCTGGTTTGATCCCTGGAACGGTAAAAACCAAAACCACCAAGCCTGAAAATCTCATGCATTGTGTGTGGTCTTTCTGCTTGGACAGCTGGTCTCGGGGGCAGGTGGTCACCACAGTGTGGGCTGGGCACCAGAGCCTCTGCTCACCTGTGGTTACAGGGCTGCCCCTAATCTGGGAGGTACTGCATCCTCCAGGAGTTCTGAGAGGTTTCTTTCCATTCAGGTGTTCCCTGAATGATAAAAAGTGGTCCCCTCCTTCCGGAGCCTTTGTGTTCCAGGCGCTCCCTGTGCCACCAACACGTTCTCAGCCAGGCTGGAGGGAGGCATGAGTGGCTTCCCCCACTTTTTAGCATATACAGTGAGAAATTTAAAAAAAGTTTTAGGTGCTATGGGGTTTGAACTCAGGGCTTTGCTCTTGCTAGGTAGCTCCCCAGCCTTTTTAAAGTTATTTTTTAGATAGGGTCTCACATTTTTGCCTGGGGCTGGCCTCAGACCATGATCCTGCTACCTGTGCCTCCCATGTAGCTGGGATTACAGGCATGTACCTCCATGCCCTGCTTGTTGGTTGAGATCTTGCTAACTTTTTTTGCCAGGGCTGACCTCTAACCATGATCCTCCTAATCTCTGCCTCCCAAGTTGCTGGGATTATAGGCATGAGTCACTGCACCTGGCAGAAGAAATAAATTTTCATTGGGTTCTTTCTGTTATTCCCATACAAAATGCAGTTGCAGGGTGCATCTGGTAGTCAGTGATGACCAGCATGGCTGTGGCAAATATCCAGCAGGCAGAGCCGTTCTACCACTAGAAATTGCTGCAATGAATGGATCTGTGCCCATCTTTACTACAGCTCAGAATGGTGGTTTTTTGTTTTTTTTTTTTTGTTTTGCCTGGGGACAATTCCCTGAGAGTCCTTTCATTTTTTTCTTCCTTTGGTCAGCTTCTCGCGACCCGTGGAAGGAGAGTGGCGATGTGTCAGATAGTGGTAGCAGCACCACCAGTGGGCACTGGAGCGGGAGCAGTGGCGTCTCCACCCCCTCGCCCCCCCACCCCCAGGCCAGCCCCAAGTACTTGGGGGATGCCTTTGGTTCACCGCAGACTGATCATGGCTTTGAGACTGATCCTGACCCTTTCCTGTTGGATGAACCAGCCCCACGCAAAAGGAAGGTATGTGACTGTGATGGGTGTGCAGAGATGGCCACCCCTGGAGGAGGGGGACCCCACAGGCCCCAGATGGTGGCGAGCTCCCTCCCACCTTATCTGTTACCTCATGATATTCCCAGACTTCGATGCCAGGCCCTAAAAACCTCCTCCCTGGTACCTGCCTTCTTCCCTGCACTCCCGGCAGAGGCCTGTGCAAGAGTGGCTGTAATCTTAGCACCCAGCAGTGCTACGGCCATCTGTGCCAACTTGGATCCTCTGCTGCCCATTTCTCTGCTGTCTGAGAGCCCCTTCTCTGAGGCCTTTGCAGAAGATAGTAGCCAGCTGAAGTCCCCGCTGGGTGAGAATGAGGGAGGAGTGGGGGAGAAAAGTGCACATCATTCACTAAACTTCCTTGTCTCCTAGAACTCCATGAAGGTGATGTACAAGTGCCTGTGGCCCAACTGTGGCAAAGTTCTACGCTCCATCGTGGGCATCAAACGCCACGTGAAAGCCCTCCACCTGGGGTAGGTACGGAGCTCAGGGCCTCTTGCCCAGGGTGCCAGTTCCCCTCCAATGAATGGCTTGTGGAGACCATCTCCCCACATCCATCCCTGCTGCTCTTGGGAAGATGCCTTTGTTGGGTCTGGAGGACCTTTGCATCATGGTGAATGTCGAGGCTGTCCGTGGGGCGGGAGCTCTGTCTGTCCGGTGGGTGAGTCTTCTTGCCTCATGTAGAAAGCAAGATGCTTAGTTCTGGGCAGAAATGGGGTACTTTGATTCAGTCACTGGTGAGAGCCTGTGGCCAAGATGTGTGTGGCCAGGTTCTGCACCTGCTTTTCTGCTTGGGAGCTTGGGTTGGGACTCCATTAGTGCCAAGGCTGGTGCCACGGTCTTGTCTGCAGAGGCTGCTATGGCAGGAACTCAGAGCCTGACTCATAGCCTTCGAGGAGAACGTGCTGTGGGTAGGTGGGGCCCTGAGAGGGCCTGTGGCAGGGCTGAGTCGGTGTCTGCACACGTTCTATGACAGCACCAGTCTTTGTGCCAGGAAAAACAATTCCTGCTCATGGGCAAGGGTGAGATCCCTCACGACACCTGTTGGGAGCAGGGCTCCTGGCATTCTCTTGGGCAACTTCCCTGACTTGCTGGGTGATCTGAAACAGTTGCTTCCCTCTTGTACCTCAGTTCTCCCTGACTTTGAACTAAGGCAATATGTCCCTAACGATGACCCCATCTGCTTTCCACACAGGGACACTGTGGACTCTGACCAGTTCAAGCGGGAGGAGGATTTCTACTACACAGAGGTGCAGATGAAGGAAGAATTGGCAGTGGCTGTAGCTGGCCCCTCTGCCCCTGGGACTCCCGCTGCCGATCCAGCACCCACCCCCTGCGTGACCAGCCCATCCCTTGCTGCTCTTCCACTGCCTCCGCCCAAAGCCCAGTACTCCGGTCCAGAACATCCTGGCCTGGAGTCCTCCCTGCCCTCGGGGGCACTCAGCAAGTCAGCTCCTGGCTCCTTCTGGCATATTCAGGCTGACCATGCATACCAGGTATGGGGCAAGGGGGACACTGGAGACTCAGCCTGGGATCTAAGTGTCCAGCTGCATCACAGGCCCCTGATCAGTCTGATTGAAGACCAAGCCCTTTGGGCCAAATTGCTGATCTTAGTTCTACAAAGAAGGAAATTGATGGCACTCTCAGTAGATGTAGAAGTTCTCTCTGTAGCTTTGTGAGTAGTTACGAGAAATCTAGTTATTCCTCAACAACCAAGTACGTGGCTTTGGGCTGGGGAGTTGTCATATCACGGTTAAATTTGTTGGAGGTGTGTAGTTGGGCTTCCTAGGGCAGATTTAGGTCTCACAGTTGTGTTGCCTACAGCGTGGCAAACCTTGGGCCAGTAAGCTTTGCTGATAAGAGTAAAAGTAGTCCCTGTCCCTGCAGGGCACATATGTGGCTGGAGAGAGAAACAACTCTGCAGCTAAGATTAATGATAATAAGTGACTCTACTTCCTAGAGTCACTTTGGGCACAGGAGGCACCACACCATTACGCTCGTGTGGCTGGGAAAGTTGTCTGGGGGTGACATTTAGCATAGTCTTCTACACTTAATAGGTGCATGTGTAGCTTCTGTGTGATTGTTTAAAAATCTTTTTGTACCTCCAGCTTGGTTTTATTAGACTTGGGGCCAAATTGGCAAGTTACTAACTAAAAAGTAGTGTTTTAATCAGAAAAGCTTCACAACATGAGCCAGCTCTCTGCAGGAGAATGTGTGGCCACTTAGTCTGGCCAATGTCTAGCCTTAGCTGACTGGCCCTGTGGGGCTGGTATTTTTACAAATAGATCTAAACCAGGGATCTATGAACCAGTCGCTATTCCCAAGTAATTGCCTAGTGACACCACACTGTATTCCAGCAATGTACCCAGCCTCAGATAGCTTTGAACTTTTTTTGGCAACTGCCCCAGGCATGTTCTTGGTAGATGAACCAGCCCGTGAGGATTAAGTCATGAGGCTGGCACAGAACCAGGGGGTTCCAAAATGAGGTTGAAGCCTCACACGAAGGAGACTCCTTTGGAGAGCTGCATATTCTGAGGTTGCTCGCAGGAAGACGGATCTGGTGTGCCCCAGTATTTTCTTGTCATCTCACTGAAGGCAGAGATGTGCCTTCGGCTGCCTCCTGAGCCTGAGCCCTGGCTCATGTACTCTTGTCTCTGCAGGCTCTGCCGTCCTTCCAGATCCCTGTCTCCCCCCACATCTACACCAGCATCAGCTGGGCAGCTGCCCCTGCCACTGCCTCCCCCATGTCTCCGGTGAGTGTGCCCCTTGGCACGCGGGGCCTTGGTACAAGCCCAGGGCTCTTGCACATGCCCCAGGGCTCACTTCTCTTTGGTACATGGCACGTGGTTGGTGGTGTTGACTGGCCTCTGGCCCCAAACTTCATGAAGATCTCCATGTGCACTCCCCCCACCCTCATACTCTGTAGTCGGTCAGAGCACCTCTCAGAAGCCAGCAAAGGCACTCACAGAGGAGTGCCAGGATCCAATAGGTTTCTTGCCCAGAAAATTGCCAGGCAAGGCTGGGGCAGTTTCTGTTTAGCAATGGGTGTCTCTGGGTGCTCGCAGTGGAGGGCTGTGTGGCTTGCATCAGAAATCTCAGGCCACTGTGGACTAGTGCCTTAGATTGCTTGACCCTGACTCTGAACTAAAGTAAATTAGACATCACTAGAACCTCACATGGCGGGCTCTAGTCTCAAATACCTGCCACAGGGAGATGCCCCACATCACAAAACCTAGGTGCCAGGAGGTGCTCTTGAGGTGTGATGCCCCCTCTGTGTCCCACACGCCATCTAACTCCCCTGAGGCCTGATGGGTGGCTCCCAGCACCTGACTCCTGCTTGACCTGGAGTGTGGCTTAAAGGCCTGCCCTCCTTCTGCAGGCTCTCCTGCCATGGTCCGGCCACATGGGCCCAGTGATGCACAGAGGGGTTTGGGGAGTGTGGCCAGCTGTCTGGGAGGAGGCCCTCATGCTCACAGCCTGTGCTTATGGCCCATCCTCATCCCCAGGTCCGGAGCCGGTCTCTTAGCTTCAGTGAGCCGCAGCAGCCACCACCTGCAGTGAAATCTCACCTGATTGTCACCTCTCCACCCCGGGCCCAGAGCAGTGCCAGGTGAGATGCCTGCCATTTACTGAGCTCTAGCTTCTGTCTGCACTGGTAGTATGGACCCTGAGTCTGTTCAACTGTAAACACCAGGGTCGTTCCCAGGGGGAGTTGGATGGAGGACAGACACACCAGAGGGCTGTCTTCTGTACCCTGAGGCTCAGGCACCCTTGGCTTCCGTTGGGAGTCACCCCTTCCAGCCTCTTCCTGTCAGTCCAGCCTAATGCTTGGCTGCTGTTCAGGTCTAACCTTGGGTGCATGATACCATATTCTTCTTCTTTGTCAGGAAAGCCCGTGGGGAGGCCAAGAAGTGCCGCAAAGTGTACGGCATTGAGCACCGGGACCAGTGGTGCACGGCCTGCCGGTGGAAGAAGGCCTGCCAGCGCTTCCTGGACTGAACCTTGCCACCAGCCCTGCTCCCAGCCCTGACTGCAGCCTGACCACATGACTGATGAGAGGCAGATGGGCCTCCAGCCCTCAAAAGAACCTGGAGAGATTCAGAGTGGACGTGTGCAACTCGGGCGCTATTGGCTAAGGTGTAATACTTAAAACACTTTCTTCCCCCTGTGGGAATGTTCTATTTTTTAAAAAAAGAAACAAAAAATATTTTTCCCCCTAAAATAGGAGAGAGCCAAAACTGACCAAGAGTGTTCTACAATGAACCAGAGACCAAAGAATCACTCATCTTCCTCCTCCATCTCCCCAACTCCTAGGGGACTAGTTTGTACACCGTAAAAGAAGGGACAGGACTGCTCTTCCTGTTCCCTGCCGAGTCTAATCCTTTGCTTTCTTGACTCTTCCAGAAAAGACTGTGAGCAAGATGAATTTCCTTTTCTTTAAAAAAAAAAAAAAAAAAGTTTCTGGCTGGTGGGTGACCCAGAGAGCAGGACTGTGGGTGGGGTGGGAAAAGCAGGCGTGTGCGTGTGCGTGTGCGTTAAGATGTGGCTCCTCTTCCCTGTCTGGGCAGGGAAAACCCTCGTGGTGACAACTTTTGGATCTGGGAAGCCCTCAGATGCTGGATTAGATCTGAACAAATACATGGCTTCTTCTCAAAGTTCAGACTGATAGGTTTTTAAAGACTGCTCCCAAATTGCTGAGCCAAAAGGCTCATGAGAATTTACTTTTGAAAATGTGGCTGTTGACACTTACCTTGCACGTTCTATGTGCATGAGGGAGTGCCAGAGGGTTTCAGTGTCTGTGGGAACTGCCTCCCTCCTCTGAGGTCTGTTCCCTCAGTGTGAAGAGGAGACGCCAGAACACTTGGCCCTCTGGTCTGGTGAGTTGGAAGCCTTTGCTAACTGAAGGTCTCTTTCCTTGGGTGGCCCTGAGAGATCCCAGCAGGCTCCTTTTGTGTCCCTACTTCCCCAGAGACTGCCCCATTTTTGCTCCTTGCTCAAGGCAGGATGAGAGAGGCCAAGGAGAGTCCTCATAGGAGTGAGATTCAGGAGGAGGAGATCAGGGGAGGAAGGCCTGGGATAGATTAGGGTCATTGGTGGTTCTAGTGTCTGCAGGGGAGACAGGGCTATGTTGAGGTCCATCTGCAAAGCTGTTCTCGTTCGGGGAGTTTAGTGCCATTCCAGCCTGGGTGAGCTGAGCTCTGAAGACAGGGCCTGTTTTATTCAGAGGCTCATCTTCTAAATGTGACTGTGTCATGGATGCTTGGGGCCTGCTTGAACATGGCCGCCTGGGACTCAACCATTCTGGATTAATGTCCCAGGTGTCAGAGGCTTAGGGAGTCCCACCAAGCCATCCTTTCTGGGACTGAAAACAGCATCTACCTTTGGTTGTCATGGAGACCATCCTCTTTGTACCCAATAAAAACTTTTGGGCACTGGGACTCCATTGGTGGCAACACGTGGGAGGGTACACATACTTTTCAACTGGAGACACACCAAGTGTGTCTCCAACCTAAGCAGGGGTGTGAGGTTGTGAAGGGTGTGGTGACCAGGGCTGGTGACGGAAGGGATAGACACTGAGGTGTGAGTGTCTTTGGTGGGGGTATATTTTTATAACACAGGGAAAAATGTTTATGGAATTCTGACTTGGTAAAGCTCAAACCCTGGCCCTTCTGCCACTTTGTCCTAATGGATAATTAAGAGCTGGTGGCGGGCGATTGCTCCTCATGTGTCATGCTGTCCAACTTCAGGTCTTGCTGGGGATGTCGAGGTAGGGAGGCATCTGGACATGTGGGGGTCTCTGCCAGGAACCTCTTCCCTCTGCTTCTCAATCCTAGTTTGTGCTGAGTCGTGTTTTTCAACAGAGTTGTTTCCATCCTCTTCTCAGTGTGGACTATGTTGATAGAGCTGGACACAAAGATTTTTTTCCACTTGAGACAGGGTAGAGAAGTAATTGATGGGACACTTTAAAACCTGAGGTGGCTTCAACTTTGTTAATGTCCTTTATTTTGTTTCAGTGTAGCCTTCCCTGTCTGCATTCTCTCTCTGCCCTCTGTCCACTTGCGCTCCTCTGTCTCATTGCTGTTGTGTTGATTTTTGATGTATATGGCCTGTCCTTGGGATTGCTCCATTGTTTCTTGGAGGGTGGGGTGGCTTGTGGCTGATAACAGGGATCTGTCCTGTCTGCTTCTTGTCTGGATCTCCCTGCTTCCCAGCCCCCTGGGTGGACTCTGACTGGAGGATGGTGCCACAGGTTTTGTCAGTCTTTTGGAAACTAACAGGACAGATTTGCAAAAGCAGGTGTCCTGGGAAACCTCTTATCCGGTGATGTCCCTGTATTCAGAATATTTGTGGGAATTAACTTCAGAGTCGGTGCCACATTGGGAAGAGCCTCAATGATGCTGAGTCTGTCCGGAGCTCCTTCAGCACCAAGTCTGGGGATAATGCCTGTGGTCACGGAAGTCTCAGGTGAGTGACGTGGCTTGGATCGGATGAGATAGGACCTTTAAACTGGCTCTGAAAGCAATTATGTAATTTAACACAGGGTTGTGAACCATGGTCACAGTAAGTCCACAGCTTGACTCCTTAGAGGACAGTATTAATTTGGATGTGGTCACTGATTTGTTGGAAGAAATCTGTCCTGTTACTTTCTGGTCCCACGTTCTGACTCTACCAGGGGCGGAAAAAAAGAAGAGGGGGAGCTAAATCCCAGCTGTGAATTTGTCTTATTGGCGCCTTTCCCCCAGCTGTCTTCCAAGTATTATTTTTACTGTTAAAATTTTTTTAAAAATGTGAAATGTAATGTTTTTACAGCAATGATATGAAATATATTTTATAAGGAATAAAATGGGACATTGTCTGACTTTGAGTGTGCTCGTCCCCCTCTTTCCTGTTCTATAAAGAATGAGATTCCCATTGTCCTGGTGTTAAACAATGGTAGTGTATCACACTGTAGGCAGGTGTACAATTCATTTGCCTGTAATAACAATAGGTGAAGTAAAAAAACAAGAACAAAAAAAAAATAATAGTAGGTGGTCTAGAGATGGGCCTGGCATGCACTAGGCCCTGGTTTTGAACCCCAGTATTACCAAAAAACAAAAAAGTCCAACAACATGGTTCAGACTCTTGCAAGGGCCCCTGTTGACTGTGTCACCACATGGCAGGTAGCAATATTGGAAACTTGTCCAAGGGGAGAGGTCCCATTGTGAAAACAGGAAGCCAAAGAGGCTGGGGTCTCTTAGTTCCTTCCTAGGGTACACCACCATGACCAAGGACCTCTCACTAGGGACCACCTCCCTGCCCCACTGAGGGTCACACCTCCAATAAATGCAGCTTGGGAGGTCACACTCTGCCATCTTCACAGCACTAGCCTTACAAAAAGTCTGGTCCTGAGCATGGTCTGCCCCTAAAAGCATCCATTCCAAGTGCAGTGGTGGTCTTCAAGCTAGCAAAGCTGGCCTTGGCAGAAAGTAACACCCATCCTGGAATGGTTTCTGCAACTCTAGTCACCACAGCATATGTCAATTCTGCGAAGACCCTTTGAAACTAGGCTAGAAGTGTGTTTAAAATGTTCAAAGTATACTTAAATACATACCTAAATATATACTTAAAAATATACTCCGGCTGGGGGCCGGAGGCTCATGCCTAGCTACTTGGGAGGCAGAGATCTGGAGGATCATGGTTTGAAACCATTCCCAGGCAAGAGTTCATGAACCTGATCTCTAAAAAACCCATTGCAAAAACAAGGGCTGGCAGAGCAGTTCAAAACAGTAAGAGTGCCCGCCTAATGAGTGTGAGGCCCTGAGTTCAAACCCCAGTGCTGCCCCAGAAAGGGGGGCTGTTACCCTTGTAAGAATGAAAGGCGGCTGTGGCGGGTGTAGGTCAGAGACCTGATGGGATCCTTTTTGCATTAAGTGAGCGATCTACAAGAAAAGCAGAACCTGAGAGGCGCTGAGCCGCATTGGGATCTAGGAGGTGTCACTGGGGGTGGGCTCTAGGGACCCCTGACTGTTGGAAAGTGAGGGTGCTAGGCTTGGAGACACAAAAGAGACTGTGTCATTGCTCAAGCTGGTCAAGCCTGGCAGCCTGCCAAGCACTTGCCTTTTACCCCTTCTTACTTTTATCCTCACCCCACCCCAACTAGAATGAGCCCGCCCACTTGTTTGCCAGGGTTTCCCCATATCAGTTACCTAGCATTCTCCATTTGCAGCTGGGGGCTCCCCAGACCTGCCTTTGTGGCTGCATTGGTGGACTCCCTAACTTCCCAGCTTCTGGTGGAGTCTGGCCAACAGGAGGCTCTAAGCTGGAGTTTGAAAGTGGAAAGAAAGAGAAATGGGGGTACTGGACCCCTCACGTCCCAGTGTGTGGAGCTCTTATGGTCTCCAGTAACTGCCTTGCACATACCAGGGCTCCCTAACTCCTTAACAGAGCGACTTACCATTCCTTGCTGAGTTTCTGTAACCCTTTCTGTGGTTTAAATGTCCCCTCTAAGCTGGATGTGGTGGTGCATTTCTATAATCCCAACACTCAGGAGACTGAGGATCTGGAGTTCAAGGCCAGCTTGGGGCGACATAGTGAGACTGTCTTGAAATTTGGTTCGCACTCTGTTGGGAGGTAGGACTTTTAAAGATTAGGTCCTGGGCACTTTGTTCTCCTGAGCAGATTGAAGCTGTTATCCTGGGAGGGATTAGTTATTGAGAGAATGTGGTTCCACATCTGCAGATTCAACCAACTACAGGTTGAAAATACTAAAAAAAAATTTTTTGTACTGAACACGAACAGACTTTTCTTGTCATTATTTCCTAAACCATAGGGTTTAACAATGACACAGCACTTACATTATATTAGGTATTATAAATAGGGATGATTTAAGGTGTGCAGGAGGTTATGTGTAAGTTATATGCAAGTGGACCATTTTACTTCAGGGACTTGAGCATCCTCAGATTTTTGTATCCACGGGGGTCCTGGAGCCAATCCCTGTGGACATCAAAGACAATTGTATTCTTCTGTTAACAGCAGCAGAACATGGACTAAGGCACCTGCTGCTTTTGTAGACATTTAGGTGCTCAGTTACTGCACTTGCTTCTCCCTGTGTTTCCAGGCTGGGCTCTGACAGTTACATACCATAACGCTTTCAGTATTAAGTTGGAGATAAAAATAGCATTTGACGTTTATCTTAGCTCCAACCCTTTCCTCCTGCCCAATCCATTGGTCTCAAACTAGCAGGATTTGCATCATCTAGAACTTGTTTAAAATGCAAATTTCCACCTAATCAGAAACTCAGGGTGGTGGTGGTGGTGGGGTGGACCCAGCAGCCTGCCCCTGCTTGGTGCTGCTGCACACAGAGTTCTGAGAACCACTGCTGCTTTTCCCTACCTGGCTGGTGCATTCACACAGCTGTGCATCAGTTTTCCCACCTTGGGCAGCACGGCGTGTCCAGTGGTGAGTGCCCTGGGGTGTTGATATTCCAGAATCTTGCCCAGCCTACTTTACAGGATGTAGAGCCAGGAGATTTTGGCCTCTGCCTCCAGGGAGAGGCTGTTCAGAGAGTGAGCTTGCAGAGTCTGTGCTTCTCAGCCATGTCACTTAAAAACAGCAAACGAGTTTATTAACCATTTGCTCAGTAGTTTAATGGAGAAATAGTTGTTTCAAACAATCAAGTCAAAAAGAACAGCTCTTTTACAAACAAGTTATGGCAGTGATGAGTCAAAACCCCAGGCTTGATTTCATATTCACCCTGCCCTAGAAGAGGGAGACGTGGGAGAGTAGGCAAGATGGGGCCGTTAAGATGGAGGAATTACAAAAATACACTCTGATGTAGCAACAGGGTTGTGGGGAAACATGCCATTGGGAGGGGGACAAACGATGGAGAGGTGCCGTGGGCTCAGTGTCTTGGGGATGGAGGAATCCTGATTCCCAGTCGGCAGGTCTGGGACTGGACACATGCTGTTTTGGGGATCACCTGGATGCCTGGGGAGACAGAGATGATTAAAATGGCAAATCTGATGGGTTTTCTGACTCTTCCATTTGCCCAAGTGACTGAAGCAATTCAAAGGAGGGCAGGAAAAGCTACCAACCTGATCAAGAGCTCCTAAGTAGCCAGCAGGGTTCCTTAACTCCTTCTATTCATTTGCTCCCTATGTCCCCCACCAGAAGCTACAGGCAGGACTAACACATTGAATGAAGGTTGGTGGGTACAGGGACAGCTATAAGTACCCTGGCCTGAAACAGTCCTCTCCTCCCTAGTACTTGGAATCCATGCTAAGTCGTGTCCTTGTTGACAGTTCTTGTGTAGTGCGTATGCTCTTTCAGCCTGATGTCATGAACACCTGGCCATGAGCGAGTCTGCTACTGCTTTCACGTCATGGCAAGGCCATGATAGCAGACAATAGGATGGCAGTATAGGGTCAGAAAAGGGAAGGTAGCAGTGTGCCTTTCCATGGTTCTGTCTAGGGCAAGGCTGCACCCCAGTGCCCCGGCCTCCTAGTACATGACACTTTCTGAATAGGTTCTTATCCCGCCACAATGCTGGGTGGCCCCATTCCCTCCTGGCCTTCTAGGTATAGATTGGTATTGGACATCGTAGAAGTCAAGAACAGCTTTGGCAACAGAAGTTGGCCAGGGTGGAAGAATCTGTATCATGCATAGGGCAGGTTAGGCTGCGTGTGTGCGAATAAACACAAATCTTCAGCTACCTGTTATAGGCTCATTAACACACGTTCGCACCGGAACTCAGCAGTCGTGCTCATGTGGAAAACGGAAACAGAGAGATGGTTGCACAAGGAGATGGAGAGCCATCAATAATACCTAAATGAGCCTGTTAATGTTTCCAGTGTTTCTAGCAAGAGCTTTTGTCTTGAGCAAAGCAGCAGACAGAAGCTCATTTACGGCTTTGTTTCAGCACCTCTCAGTTGGAAGTATAATAGAAAATCAGAAAAACCAACTGTCTGGCTCAAATAGATTTTTCAGATAAATTGATTCCTGCTAATGGGACTGATCTTAAACTGTCAGTAGGTAAAGAATATTGTGGTTTAAGATTAGACATGGGCTTTTGTGTCCCTTAAGAGCTACTTTTAAGAAGAATGTCTTTAAGATTTAAAAGAATTCAATACACGCTACTTCTGAAAGATTTACCACTAGGTACTGTGCAGATGTGGTGTAGAAAGAAATAGAATATAGGCTTTGACTTGGGTTCACTCAGGACCTTCAGAGATTACTCATTCTGCTAGAAAAACGCTACAGCCTTCTCTCCAGCTTAACACGTGTGTCCATATTTGGTGATGGATTTGTTGCGAATGAGCTGGCCCACCTGCAGGAGCTATGGGGGCTGCCTCCACAAGGGAGTGTGGGCACCAAGGATTAACATACGGGTTAGTATGCCTTGAAGAGGACTAGTAATGATAAGGCTACCTTTGACACGTGGGAAGCGAAATCAGAGCGCACATGCAGATTTTTTTTCTTTGAGGCCTCTTAATTGGAATAGCCCCAGTTGGGTAATGCCTTGAGATGACTTTGTCAAACTGACTGGTGTTAGGCCAAGTTTCTAGGCTGACTCAGAACGTATGTGAGACTGGTCAAGGGGCATAGACTTGATGGTTAGGATTTTTCTTAAATCCGGTGTGATTCAAAGTTATGCGTTAGTTGATTCACTAAGGAGAGTCGAGTTTGGAATAGCTGGGTAATAAATGAGGTCTGTGCTGTGTATTATTTAATATGTATTATATGATTCATAAAAGCATGCCTGTGGAGCAAAGCAAAAGCAAAAGAGAACAAGGAAGGAGAGAGGGACAAAGGCAAACAAAAACAGCCCCTTGGGAAGAAGCAAAAAGTGAGTTCATATTCTGGAAGCTTTTGGGTCAGGCCACATTCTCAAGACTCAGCTTGGTAATGATGTCATTGATCATAAAGAATCTGTCTTTCCCTGGCAAGGTGGGAGGATGGACAAATGACTTGTGGAAGAAATAAAAGCAGAAAGCATAACTCCCACTCTTAACAGGAACTCCTTGGCTGGGGGGAAATGAGAAAATTGAATGGATTCCATGGAGTCCAGTCACCTTGAACATAGGGGGAAGGGAGAGGTAGGTAAGTGTCTTTAAAGGTGAAGGAGCAACTTGTAGCCACAGTAATCAGCCTCTGCAAATGGCTTAAGAGTAGTCCAGCTATTGGTTTTTAGAGATAAAGTCTCTGAGGAAAGGTGAGCTGAATGGTTGCTATGGCAACCAGCCAGGAGAATTGGTCCACTTAACTATCCCCATAGTAACTAAGCTCCTGGAGAGCTATAGAGGAATTAGTTATCTTAACGTACTACCGTTATCCCCATGGTAACCAATTTCTAAATGGGAGTGGTCAGCCTCAAGGAGCAATTGTAGGAAAATCTTTGCTCCCTAGAGAAAAGGCTGGGGTAGAAGGAGGCAGGGAGAATTTTCCTCTCAAGCCTCCCAGAAGCTGAGTCCTTGCGGTGCTGTGACTGAGAGAGAGAGAGAGAGAGAGAGAGCGTGTGTGTGTGTGTGTGTGTGTGTGTGTGTGTGTGTGTTTGGGGCTAACTGCTTCTTGCAGGCCTGGGAAGAGGCCTCAGACAGCTGGGTGTATGAGGTCTCTCCTTGCCCCCAGCTCATGTGTCCGACTCACTCATGGGTTGCAGTGGCCGGTGCAGCTGGGAGGGGCTCCCCTTCCGGCTACACATTACCATTCTGGTGCAGGGTGCGACGGCGTTGGCTGGACTGCATGCTCAGGACCAGGTACTGCCTCATAAACTCACTGAACCGCTTCTGGTTGGCCAGCTTCCGGGCCGACTTCCGGGCCCCAGTAAAGCCCCCAAACCTCTTCTGCAGCTGCTTCTGCTCCAGCTCACCAGCCCCATCTGTGCCAGGCTCTGCATCTTCCTGGGTTTGGAGCAGGCTCCTGACGCGGGGTGTTCGCTTCAGATGCTGCATCTCAGAGGCTCTAGGCTGCTCAAGAGCGGCCTCCACGTGCTCTGAGTCAGCAGGGCTGAGCTGCCAGGGGCCCCTGGCCATGACCTTGGTGCACGGAGTCCAGAGAGGGCTGGGGGAGACCTTTTCTTCACACTCAAGGATGCACAGCTGCAAAGACACAGGTGGGAGGAAGGGAAGGAACAGAGACCTCTGTTACTCCAAGGCAAGGGAGGAGAAAAGTCCCTGCGGTCTGCGCCTATACCAATTCAAGTGCTTCTAGACTATTTCTTGAGCAATCTTTTACATATAGATTTTTAAGTTCACAGAATTTCAGAGTTGGAGAGAAACAGAACCATCTGGCCCAGGTCCATGATTTTCCAACAAAGAAGTCAAGGTTAAGAGGTGGGGTTGACTTACACTCTATGACCCAAGAAGTTAACACAGAACGAAGGCACCTCAAACTACAGCCTGCTGTAGCCTTAGTCAGGTTTTTAGAGCTGAGCACAGCTCATGGGTGTCATCCAGAAAGAAGAATTCTATTTCATTCTCTCATCAGGATTTGGGAAGGTCAGATTGGTCAAAGAAATGGGGATGTGAAGGTAAGTAGTTAAATCTGTACGGGTATTTTAAAGTCACTGGGTAAAGATCAACCCAGGTGGTGTCAGTTTCTCATACCACATGTACTGGCCACCACACTGGGCATCATTTATAGCAAATGAGGGTCAAGGGCCTTGGGATGCAGGCAGGCTGGCATGTGGGGCTAAACCTGTAGTCCCCTTCCAGGTGGGGAAGGGAGCCCAGCATCAGATGTGAGCCAGGCAGAGTCACCAGGAACACTGCTGTGCCTGTGCCTCCCAAGCACTATGGCCTCTAGTGGAGACCACCAGCCTGGCCATACCATTTCTCCAGCCCCTCCTGACTGGTCCTGACCTTGGCCTCCCCCTCCTGCCTTCACTCTCTGGTTGGGTTTTCTGGAAGCCTCTACCTCCAACTTCTCTTGCCTGGCTCCCAGAGCACCTTCTGGGGCTGAGGCTGCTCACTGCCTGCCATGTATCCATTTCCCCTTTTTCTTTCTTACAGAACACTGCTTCCTCCCTGAAAGCAACAGATATGTGTCCCGCCGTCCCCTGTAGCCAGAGGTGGCTGGTGACAAGAATGGAAATGATCAGGTGGGACCTCCAGTAAAGGAGGGGCTGACACAGCTGGGATGAACAGCAGTGTTTTCCTTCTTCCTCTCCTTCCTCCAGTGTCTGGTTTGCAATGTGGACATTTGGGTTGGTGCTTTGTTGCCACTGTGAAACCACGAGGTGGCCTAAAGGGTGGAGTCATGTACTAGAAGCCGTAGGAGAATGGAAGTCAGAATGCTGTCAGAGCAGAAGATAGAAGGAGCCTGGAGCAGCCATGCTAGCCCTGGACTCACTTCTTTATGAGGAATCAAATCTCTGTCTCATTTAAGCCACTGTCACTTTAGGTCTCTGTTACTAGCACGCAAATTTAATTCTTATTTGATGTACTTTCCCCACCCCGGGTCTGCCCTTCTGCTTGGCTTCTCTATCTTTCTCTGAATGGTGGCTTCTTCCCCAGTTGACTGAAGTTTAAAACCCTGGGTACAGCTTTACCTCCCTTCTCACCACCCCCACCGCTATCCACTCAGTATACAGGTCTGACTGTCCCTTCCCTTCTCCCTGCACTGCCCAAGTACCTCTTTGGGGCGCTCTCACTGACCTCTCTGTCTTCCTCTTTGCCACTTGAATGTGTTTTAGGTTCCTGAAGAACGACGCTGATCACATCACCTTGTCCACAACTGTCTGGTATTTTGTTTTGTCGGTAAAATAGCTCCAGAAAACCCAAGCAGGTCATTCAAGTACCTCTACTACGTGGTCCAGCCTGCCTTTTATGCTTCATTTCCAGTATCTCCCCTTGCACGCACACCCCTCAGTTACACGAGGTTGCTCCTGGTACCTTAAACAACTCCATGCCTTTTGCCACTCTTTCCCCTCTGATGGAACCAAGAGGTCACCCAGAGCCCACCCATCCTTTGGGACTCAGCCACACTGCAGTGCTACTCCTCTGTGATACCTCCTTTTAGCTCCCTGGCAAGAGTTGCCAGGGAATTGTATTGCTCTTGTGGAAACTTAAATGGCTTACTGTGAAAAATTGCAATACTTTCTAAGGCAGGATATAGCAAGCTAGGGGACACATCTCATGTTTGAGTCCCTTGTGGGAATCCTTTCCTTCTAGTAAATAATAGACATTCTGTTAAATTCTATTAAGTAGTGGATGTTCTAGTACATAGAGACATTTTGGTTGTCATAACCTGGGTGTCTTCTAATGCCACCTAGAGGCCGAGGATGTTAGTAAAAATCCTTTAAGGCACGGAACTGTCTCAGTACCAAATAGTTGTCCAGCCCCAAATGTCCATGGTGGTGTATTTAAGAAACCCTGACCTCCAGAGTCAACGGGAACTCAGGGAGATTGGATGGCACAGCAACATGTGCTGTAACACCATGTCAGTGTGGGATGTGGGCGCTGGAAGAGAGCTTGGACACACTTGGTCCTAGACGTTTTGTTGAATTGTTTTGCTCCTTTGGTTTATAGAGACAGGTGGAAGGGTTAAGTCTAGAGGCCACTAGAACTTTTGTGAGTTCCTGGGTTGCTAAACAAGATGGCAATTACATTTTGTGTCAATCAGAGAAAATAAAATTTTATGATCAAACCAGATGCCACAGTCTGTTGCAAGACTTGACACACTATTGGATAAATTAGAGACTGAGCAAATCGCCTCAGCGAGTTTGGGGAAAATACTAGTTATCTAAATTCATGAAGCATTTGTAGCACCAGATGGGCAGATGAGCTTACTGCCTAACCCTCTGGTTTGGGGGCCTCACCAGCCTCTTTCCAGAGATGGGTTAATGGCTTATTAAGTGAGCTGGACACATCTCTCCAGCCCTCACAGTGACATTGCTATATTGAGTCAGAGTTTGCCTGAGCATCTGGAGTCCCAGATCAGTGCCAAATTGATCTGTAAAGTCGAGCTTGTGAGGAGACTGATCAAAGGGCCATTTGGATGTCTGGACAAAGATTAGGACACAGGTGGGCTGTGTAGCCTCGTGATAGAATGCTTGCCTAATGTGTGAGGCCCAGGTTCCATTTCACACTGTAAAATGAAGTGGGGAACCAGACACATGAGCCTGTTGGAGGGAAAAGAAGAGGGTCACTGAGACAGTCTAGCTCCTGCCATCGGTGAGTCAAGCTACCTCTGACTACAGGAGCTATTTTCTCTGGAAGGTCCTGCTAAAATATTCAAGGATGACTAGCACAGAAGAAAAGAACACAAGGCACTGATATTGCAAACCTACTAAGAGTTTTCATTTAATAATGATCCCAGTCAGAAGGTAGTTTCATTTACAATAGAGTTTTAGGAAGTTGTGGGGTTTTTTTTGTTGGTTGGTGGTGGTACTGGGGTTTGAATTCAGAACCACATGCATGCTAGGCAGGTACTTTTTCACATGAGCCATACCTCCAGCCCAAGTTTTTGGAAGTTTCCCACTGTTTCTTGGGCAGTCTCTAAAGCAACTCAGTGAATGTAGTTCTATGTGAACTGATGGGGTAAACACCATTTACTAGGCAAAAGGCCAGGGTATTTCAATGGGTATGGACGTGCCAATTGCTTACTAACCAAAATTATAGCCTAACAAAAAGCCAGCAATCCTCGGGCTGTCTACCAGGAGTAGAAATAGAAAACCTCTTGGTGAAGCCAAGGGTCCCGAGGATTCTGGGAATAGCTCAGGATTATGTAATCTGGAGGACAGATCGGGGGTGGGGGAGTGGGACTCTTGCTGAAATATGAGTCCCCATCATTCACACGGTGGACATATTCAAGGATAGCCAGATTTGGAAATGAGATGGGATCGCCTACATTCTTGACATTTCATTAAACTTAAAAATAGGTTAGAAATGAATACAAATTAGAAACAAAAACAAGCAGGCAGCCATGCCTGGGGTGGGGACAGTGGGCACCATGGAGTAATTATTTCAAAGAAGCAAAGTTATGATAATTATCTGGATCCTAAAGATTTGAGATGCAATGGAGAGGTAGAAACACGCTCCAAATTCTTTACAGTCTCTGAAAAATGCAAGCATAAAAACTGAACAATGGCTGTAGTAGATATGCCTAGCAGGAGACTAACAGTTATAGGACCTTACAGTTTCTACAGGACAAGTTTTTGTTTTGTTTTGTTTATTTTTGTTTTTGGTGGTACTGGGGTTGAACTCAGGGTTTCCTGCTTGTGAGGCAGGCACTCTTAATACTTGAGTCACATCTCCACCTCTCCATCGGGCAGGTTTATTGAGCATTGCTCCTTGCCCTACACTGGGATATCCAGATGTGTCAGCAAGAGACCTCATTCTAGGATGAAGGGTGAGAGATAGACCTGCAGACACCAAATAAAATAACAATCTGAATGCACCGAATTGGGGTTGTGGGCATCACCAACATAGAATTTGATTTTATTTTCTCATCAGGATTTGGGAAGGTCAGATTGGTTAAAGAAATGGGGGATGTGAAGGTAAGTAGTTAAATCTGTATGGGTATTTTAAAGTCACTGGGTAAAGATCAACCCAGGTGGTGTCAGTTTCTCATACCACATGTACTGGCCACCACACTGGGCATCATTTATAGCAAATGAGGGTCAAGGGCCTTGGGATGCAGGCAGGCTGGCATGTGGGGCTAAACCTGTAGTCCCCTTCCAGGTGGGGAAGGGAGCCCAGCATCAGATGTGAGCCAGGCAGAGTCACCAGGAACACTGCTGTGCCTGTGCCTCCCAAGCACTATGGCCTCTAGTGGAGACCACCAGCCTGGCCATACCATTTCTCCAGCCCCTCCTGACTGGTCCTGACCTTGGCCTCCCCTTCCCTGCCTGTTTTGGTTGCATCTCTTTGAAGCCTCTACCTCCAAATTTTCTTCCTATATGATGTTTTGGCTTCATTCCTAATTCTCCTCTTTGAATTTCTGGCCTTAGTCAGATGGAAACTCCACTTCTACCTGACCTTGCCATTGTGAGTTGGCAAGTGTTCTCTTAAGGATTTTTTGGATGTGGACAGGGAGAGAGGCATGTGCAAGATGGCAGGACAGGAAGGGAAGGGAGAATTTCCTGGGAGCGGTGGAGAGTGACAGGGGATGTGGGTCTGAGCCCAGAGAGGGAATGTCAATGGTACAGCTTTGAGAGGTACCTGCAGCCTGGGGAAGGGAAGGGCAGGATGTGTGCATGGGATCTGAAAGGGATAGGGGGCAAGAAGTTGGATATCTAGGCAATCCTTGTGTCTATGTGGTGGGCAGAGGAACATAGGAGACCCATGGACCGGGCACGAAAACCAAGAGAGGACTGGTTTCCTGAGGGACAGGATAATAGGCAGGGTAGGTGCTCAGAGGAAAACATGATGAGGGAGAAAAAGGGACAGTTGCACATTGAGTGCGTTACCTGGGCTGCTCTTCCTGATTGCATGTTTACTGCTGGTCAGAAGACAGGCTTGCTAGACCAGTTATGGTGGCTCATGCCTGTAATCCCAGTTACTCAGGAGGTAGATGTAGGAAGATCTCAGTTGGAGGCCACTATGGGCTAAGTGGGCTTGAGACCCTAGCTTGATAAAAAACAAACAAACAAACGAACAAAAACAACAAAAAAACCTAAAAGCCAAAGGACTGGGGGTGTGGCTCAAGTGGTAGAGCACTTACCTAGCAAGTGAGAGGCCCTGAATTCAATCCTTAGTAGTGCCAAAAGGAAAGAAAGGAAGCTAGGAAGGAAGGGAGGGCAGGAAGGAGGAACAAAGGAAGGAAAGAAGGGAGAGAGGGAGTGGGGGAGAGAAGAAGAGGGAATGAAAGAAGACAGGCTTGGTCTGGGGCGGGAAGAACTTGGTGCTCCTCTGCTGGAGGATGCCACAGTACATTAGTAGGGTCGGACACTGGGTTTCACACCTGTACATTTGCCTTAAGGAACAGTAGGCACTTTGGTTGCTTTGAAAGACCGGGTGGAGGGAGAGTTGAAATACGGCATCTTGAAAGAAGTTAATTGACATCAAAGGAAAAAAATAATTGAATTATGCTGGTTATCATGAGAGAGGAATAACTATGTAGACTGAAATTAAATGAGGTGAGAAAGTAGTTTATTTAATGAATAATAATTTAGCACTGGATTTGCACCTCAAGTTAGAAATTAAAATACAAGTTGGATGTTCATTGCAGAATTACCTGGAATGGCAAAAATGGAGGGCAGCATATATGACATCGAATGGTTGGATAAATTATCCTATGAGAGAGAAATAACTTCAAGAGAAACTTCTTTTTGTGGTACTAGGGTTTGAACTCAGGGCCTCACACTTGCTAGGCAGGCGCTCTATCACTTGAGCCTCTCCACCAGTGACAGAGAAATAACTTCAAATAATGTGCACTAATATGGGAATGCTCCTCTGCTGTGCTGTAGGAAGTGAATAAAAGTAGGATTTTTTCTCTGACTGCTGAGATTAGTGATGATTTTAATTTTTTATAATTCTCAGAAATTGTCAGATTCTCTGAAATATGAATTATTTTAACACTGGGAACAACAAGGCTTCCTTGGCAGGTCTCTATTGGGAGGTTGTACAGCGGAAGGATTGCAGGGACCCTGGTTGGAAGATAAAGCTGCATCTGTCTCCTGGCCATGTGACACTTGAGAGGACCTACAACCTCTGAGAGAGGCCAGGTCTGCTCGGGTGCAGAAAGAAGGAGATGTACAAGGAGGCCTCTGTGCCTTCTGGACCTACCTCCAGGTTGAAGCTGTGCAGGGCTGGGTGGAGTTTCTCCCGGCAGGTGAGGCAGTCCCTGGGACAACTGCTAAACACACTGGAGAGCAGGCTGAGCAGCAGGAGGTCACAGAGCAGGATTTTCATGGTGCAGGAGCTGAAAGGAAGAAGCTGAAACATATAGAAAGACGTGTAGCAGTTAGTGCAGCCGTGTGGGGATGGGCTGGTCAGGGTTGGGACCCTCTCTCAAGGGAGGCAGGAAAGTCATTCCTTAGTGGGGTAATGCCAGGGGGTTGAGGTTCACCTTCTAGGAGGGAGTAGATTGTCAAGGGTGCACAACGTGGTCTGGTCCTGACATGTGGTCAGGATTAAAGTTCATGCATGGGCTAGGTTCTGGGTCCTGGGAAGAGCACCCTGAGATTCCTACCATCTCTGCTGGAACCATTCCAGGAGCAGGTATGGCATGGCAGGGACAGTTTTCTTGGGAGCTGAAGGCATTGCTTTGTAGCAGACCATCATGTGACTTGAGATCAACCTCTCCAAGCCTCAGTTTCCATTGCCATAAAAGGGGAATAGTGGCACCTGTCTTGTTATGGGGCTTCTATGATGATGAAATGAGACCCATGGGAGGGTAAGCGGACAGTTGCAAAGTGCTGTGCAGGAGTAAGGTGAGCAAAATCAGAGGTTTGTTAATGGCTTGAGTCTTTCTCCCATCCTCCCCAGCCTCCCTGTCTGACCAGGAATGCCTGTGTCCCCAATTCTTTCTTCCAGAAACTTGCAGGTTTCTTGTCCATGACCCCTGCCAGAGCTAGTACTCTGTGATCTGAATGCTGCGTCTCCAAAATTCACATGTTGAAATCCTGACCCCTAGGTGAAGGTATTAGAAGGTGGGGGCCTTTCAGAGACGGTTAGGTCATGAGGGCAGGGCTCTCGTGAGTGGGATTAGTGCATTTAGTAAAAAAAAGAAAAAGACCTCATAGATCTAGCTAGCCCATCACCATGTGAGGACACAGCAAGAAAGTGCCATCTGTGAACCAGGGAGTGGGTTGTCACTGGACACTGAATCTACTGGCATCTTGATCTTGGATTTTCCAGCTTCTAGAACTGCAAGATATAATTCCTGTGGTTTATATGCCATCCTGTCTCTGGTATTGTGCTATAGCAGCCCAAACAGACTAAGACAAAAGTTGGCTTTCTGGACACAGAACGATGATGTTCACTTGAGAATTACAGCAAAATGAACAAAGAAACTGTTCGAAGAGAGCAGCCACAATGATAAGTTATTTGCACCAGTAGGATGCAATCTTTATGCAAGATTGTCTGAAAGGTGTGTAGTTTCTCCTGTTCCTCTTTAAAATTCATTCTTGGGTCAAGCCTCTTCCCTTGCATTACAACATTTTGGGTTCCTGTTGAACCATCTTTACTTAGAGGATTAAATGGAAATGGGAACAGGGACCTTTCTAGAATTGTTACCATTCTTGATTGAAGTCATAAAGGTGTATCTATTTGCCCAAACCCATCAAATTGTATATTTATATTGTGTGCATTTCACTGTATGTTAATTTTTCCTTAATAAAAAATTCAGCAAAGTTCAAATCCCAGTGCTGCAAAGAAATGATTCAGAGTTCAGTATAGAAAACAAAAAATAATTGCCTTTATTACTTTTTCATCAGACTACTTGAATGCTGTCTGCAGACGAGCTGGGAACTTATAAGAAATGCATACTTTTAGGCCCCACCCCCCAGCTATCGAATCAGGGTCTTCATTGTTATCAATATTTCCAGGTGACTCAAAAGCATGACAAAGTTTGAGAGGGATGGGTATGAGTAAGATGCAAAATGGAGTCAATCAACAGGAGAAAGGTGTCTGTGTATGTTTGTGTGTGTGCGTGGGGGGACCTGTAGCTGGAGTCACTCAACGGCCACGTCAGCAGACTGCCTGGCTTTCCTTGTGGCATCACCAAAACATTTCAGACTAAGAGGATGGTGACTAAGAGGGTGTGGAGCAAATATGTGTAAAACCAATGAGGGTGTTGAAAATGAATAAGGGTTTGCCAAGAGGGCATCTGGGAGACCCAGGAAACAGCACTTTGGAAGACACCAGTGGGTCAGGATCATAGCCTGTGGGGGTGGCGAGCAGACCGATAGCCTGGGACACCTTCCCACACTCCCCAAGGCAAAACACCTGGTGAAGGGGGGGGTTGCTGGATCCTATAAAACAACTCCATTGCACTCTACCCCTGGACGATGGGACATTTGGCGCTAGCAAATAAGAGACGTGAGTACCAATATCCACGAATGTACTCCGAAAGCAACTTTTTCCTCTCTATCCCAAGGGCAGTTACCTTAGTTGAGATTTATTGCTTTATTATTGCATTAGCCTCCTAATAGTCCACCTAATGATCTGGTCTTCTCCAAGCCATCCCCGAACTGGCGATGTCACTCCATGCTTAAAATAATTCTACAGTGCTCATGGCTATCAGGAGGAATTCCAGGGACTTGGCTGAGCACTGGCTCCTGCCTCATCTCCTCACCTACCCTGCCGTCAGCTCCTGTCTCAGTGAATTCAGCTCCAGCTACAACAGTTCCTAATGTCTGTATAGCTTGGCCCTGGGTGCTCTCTCTGCACAGACACCCTTCTCCAACTCACACCTCCTGCACATCTCAGGAGTGACCCCCTTTGGAAAGCCATCTCCAATCCCAGTCTGAGCTAGATTAGGCTCTAGCTGTGGCATATCAAAGTGGCGCATCATGGCGGTGGCGGGGAGCACATGGGCCTCAGGCACCTTGTCCATCACTCAGGGAGCATAGACCCATGCCCCAAAGTTGTGAGCTGTGGATTTTCTCATCTGACCAGTTCTAGGGACTCCTGGGTCTAGACCCTGGCTTTGCAACTTGCTAGCTAGATTCCACTTCACAGTTCCTCATCTGTAAAAATGGGAAATCCCAGTGCCTACCTCACCTGACCATTAGTGGGTTCAAGTTTGTAAGCAGCTAAAATAGCACACCAAAGCTGTGAATAAATGAAAGAACCAGCACAGGGCATTCACCCCATAGTGTTTTTTTCAGGGTATTTAGCCCTGGGTACTGTAATCTTGAACCTATGTGCCTGTTTCTCCCACTGGCCTATGACTTCCTAGAAGGCAGAGATTCTGTCCTATAGTTCTTGTATTTCCAGCACCCAGTGCCCAGATGTAACACTCAGGAGGTGCTCAATGACAGTTTGACAAGAGATAGTCATGGGTCTTGGGACCCCTCTGTCTTCTCTTCAGCCAATGAAGGGTTGAGGGGTATCTGAGAGCAGGTGCCAAATTGGGGGCCCAATGTGCTTATGGCACAGGAGTTTCCTTAGGACCTGTGTTACCCACAAAGTAGCTACTAAGGAACTGTCCAGTTTGAACAGAGAGAGGTGGGAACTACTTTCGTTCAAGGTGGGATGCCACCCTAAGCTGATATTCCCATGCACGTCCACCAGAAGACTGGTTACACAAATGGGCGTTTGGCATAGCTGTTAGGTGCTTGATACTAGGTCTGTGGGGGTTAAACAGAAGTTGGTTGGGAGTGCTTCTTTCAAGGTGAAAATGTAGCTCAAGTTCCAAATAGCCAATGTTTTAGAACTCAAGCCATTGAGGACTGCCTGGGTCTTTCTCTTAATTTGAGAATTTCCTTTACATTTCTTGTTATGCTCCATCTCTCTGGCCAGGAGATACTTTTGTAGAATTTCTCCAGGATGGCATGGCTGTGCCCTCCATGGCCACATGGTGGCAGTAGTTGGATGTCATGGAAGAAAGGGGTGTGCTTCCTGACACGAGGCTGCAACACATAACGTGCCTTGCAGCTGAGCTGATACGTGGCAGACGTTAATGAGCCACTCTCCCGCTGAGGCTTTTCAAAAACTTCATTAACTGAGGCAGCTTACACAGCTGGGAAATGGTGGTGGTTTCACTGATACTTGAGCTCTCAAATTCTGGGTAAATGGGATTTAGGGGTGAGAAGAAAGAAGGTGAGGTCCTGTGACAATAAGCATGTGCTTCCTATGATGTACTGGCTGCACAAGAATTTGACAAATCCACTGGCTTTAGCCAGGCCCTCCCTGTGGTCTGTGATGCACCTGCTGTCTTGTCTAGTCTCCTCTAGCCTACCTTCTTTTCCTTCTCCTCCCCCTCCTTTCTCCCTCCTCCCCCCTCTCCTCTCCTTCCACTTTCCTTCCCTCCTCCTCTTTTTCCTCCTCCTCCTCCTCCTTCTCTCTCTCTCTCTCTTTTTTAGGCTGGCCTCAAATTCGAGGTCTTCCTGCCTTAGCCTCCTGAGTGCTGGGATTATAGACATGTGCCACCACCATCCTCACTTTTAACACACAGTGCCACTGACTATTTAGAAACCATCCTTACTCACTGCTAGTCACTCTCCTCTGCAATTCAAAGAACCCACAAACAGAAATGCCAGCCAACCCTTCTCATGGTGTTTTGCAATATTTAAATGGGATTCATAGAAGTGAAAGCTCAAAATATATGGACATGTCATCACAAAGGGGACAGTCTCTGCTTTCTGTATTCTCCGTGACTCCTAGTCCAATCATGCGGTATGGTACATTACACTTTGAGCTCTGAAAACTCAGTAGAAGTTTTTAATTTTTAAGAACTCTGAACTGGAGCTGGCAGTGTGGCTCAAGTGGTAAACAGCCTGCCTTGAAAGTACAAGGGCCTGAGTTCAAACACCAGTACTGCCAAAAACAAAAAAATCCAAATAACTTTGAACTAGATCTAAGTGCTGGTTTGAAGAGTATACATACATTACTGTCAATTAAAATGAAGCTGAGTAATTAGTTAATTCATGAGTTATATTTGTGTTTAAGTCATAACACCTAGTACTGTGTGATGACTTTAGGTAAACTGTCTCACTTTTGGGAGCAGCAGTAACTATCAGTAAATACAATGCACCCGAGGATGTGAATTTTTCAGAGCTTGTATTTCATCTTTGAGCCAAGTTCAATTAACCATTCAACGTGGCAATACTATAATCAGGCCATTTTGATTTGAACAGAGAAATGCTTAATTACCTTTTATTTAGGTAAAGACACCTTGTAAATTTGATCGTGTCTTTCTTGCTGATTATAAAGATAGAATCCGACCGTGCGTTAGCCTGCACATA